TCATCAGGGGCAGAATCAGAATCCTTCTTCAGGATCTTAACGGCCACGGTCTTCTTGGACTTCAGGTTCAGGCATTTGGCCACTTTGCCAAAACCACCTTCACCAATAAACTCCAGGACGGAGTAATGAGAGGAGCCGCCGAGCAAAGTTTCACCAACCTGGATGTCCGGTTCAGTCAGTGAGACTGTGGACGGAGAAACGTTCAAGTTCACTTTGTTTGTCCCTCCAGACTCATTGAAACCACAGACGGACCAAATCACATGTATTCAGCAAATAAACAACAATAAAGTACAAAGACAGTGATGAAGTCCTGACGTTCAGCCGTGAGCTACAAACACTAAAACAACTGGGTCAGATATGAATGTTATCCATCTATAGATTATAAACTGATCAAAGAATCAAATCAGAACAACTTTATTTATAAAGCACTTTTAAAACGAGCAGAGTTCACCAAATCTCTGTCAACAAACCCCAAAACAACAGCCAGAAAAACACAAGAGCCTTTTAAAAACAGCAAAGAAGACGTTAAAACACATAAAAAACATTTTCTTTAACAAGGAAATATTCCTTAACATGTAAAAGTTACTAGAAGCCAAATAAAATGAAAGAGTCTGACTTTTCAATGTCTCATTGAAGAGAATAAACTTGATGTAAAAACAAAGAGTGTTGGAGCCACAGCAGCAAAGGATCGCTGGTCACTTAATATTTTACAGAAATGTTTGGAGGAGCAGAAATAACCTTCTCAGACTAATTCTCACATCTATTGAATACAATTTAAGAAGAACAGAGGAAACGCTGGTCCTTCACACTCAAGGATCATTAATCTGAGTATCGTCTGCAGAACAGTGAAGGGATCGTTGCATTAAAGAACACCTGATTTTAATGGTTCCATTTTATTGTTGTTGTTTAAAAAGGGACATACAAGAAGGAAAATTAATTTAGTTTTATGTTTAAAAAAGGAGTATACTGTTTAAAACTGATTCATAAAGATAAGGCTGGTCAAGGATTTATTTGTAAACTTCATGTTTATCACATAATAACAGATTTCTGATCATTTTACTACATTTATTTGAGTAAAAGTGACGTGAGAAAGAGGAAACGTGTTAAAGTGACTCTGACTTTAACCAGCAAATGCTGCTGAACTCAGTTCTTTACGATATTTCTCAGTAAGGATCCAACAGAAATGTAACGTGTGCAGCTTTAAAGAGCACTTTTACTGCTGCCATCAGGTTTAAACTTTGTTTTCACAGCAGATATTTCCAGTCAAAGCAGAAATGATTTTACCTGATGGGTCCCAAGCGTTTGAGTCGGACCTGAGTGACATCTTTGAGTCTGCTCAGGGTTCACAACAAACACTTGACAGCTGTCTCAGAGGAACAACTTGTGTTTGTCTTTCTTCAAGAATTTCTCTCAAACGTTCGTTTGTGTCTCTCAGAGAGGACGATCAAATGATGTGCTCCGATCAGGACTGATCTGCTTTTAGAATTTATGACACAATTTAAAACATGACAACAACTTGTTGTTGTTCAAACACCATGACAACAACTTGTTGTTGTTTAAACACCATGGCAACAAATGTTTTTTTTTAATGTGGAAAATCTATGCAAATGATTTTTCATGCAACTTTTCAATCAAACTAAATAAAATGAATAGATCCTTTATAGCCATAGACTCTATAGTTCATGTTACTACAAATGATGCAGGAATGATTTCACCTGTTTTGTCTCAATAATATATTTTGTTTGTGTGAATATCTTTTACATCTATCTTTGTAGTAAACAGTTTGGGTGCATGGTTTATTCACTTGCACAACTGTAAAAGAAAATATCAACATTAAAGATCAATGCAGTTGTCAGTGTTTTGTTGTTTGTTTCGACTTTAAATTTTGTTTTTAAAAAATGATTTTATGTTTTTTTTTGCTATTGACCACCCAAAGTTTATCTCCTGTGAAAACACTTCCAACACTGGAAGCAGAGCTCTGGTGAGGACAAGATGATGAGTAACAGAGCACTTATGTTCTGGTCCACTGACAAATATTACAGCAAATTTCATCAGTTGGTGACGTTGTCTCCTCTCAGTGAGAAGGTTGTCAGAATGGCCCACACATATGAGATACACAAGTTCCCTGCATGTGAGTTTTCTCTGCATTTTCTGGTTCCTCCCACAGACCAAAAACATGCATGTTAGGCTGACTGGTAACTGACTGGTTGTTTGTCTCTATGTGTCCCTGTGAAGAACTGGGACCTGTCCAGGGTGTCCCCCACCTCTCACTGATGGATATGGGTACCAGTGAGCCCCACAACCCAGAAGGAGTCTTGTCTTTTGTTTTCATATGTATGGTTCAAGGTTCAAGGTTCAAGGTTCAAGGTTCAAGGTTCTTGTCATTCACACACATGTGGTAATGAGGTGGAATGAAATTGTGTACTCAAGGTCCCAGTTATACCTTAAAATAACAAAAAAACTTAAAGTATAAAAATAAACAGCATAGAAGGATCTAAGGATCTTTAAAATGATTGCTTAGATGAATTCCTCTGTTGTAATTACAGTCTATTACACAATGAAATCACTAGATGGAGTTGTGGCTCCTTATATAATGTGTCATCCTTGGGGTTGACATGGATCTTTTATGTTGCTACAACAGAGTGATAATCTTATACTCGACAAGTAAATATCTGTACAGTAAAACATTTTGATAACCACCTTACAGACAGATGCTGGTCATAAAGTTAGAATATCATGAAAAAGGTGATTTTTTTCAAAAAATCAAAACTAAACAAAAAAAATGTAGAAACATTTTGTCTCTCATCCAAGAGACTTCCTCAGTCTGAGGTGCTGTATTCAGCTCAGTCTCTTAAATAGCACCTTCTCAGAGTGGATCAACCAGTTTTGCTGCTGACAACCAAAACCAGCTGATCACATGCTCAAGAAGGACCATCAGCCTAACAATGGATCATTAGCACACTGATGCCTGTTTACTATTCACAGAGGGCTGAGTGATACTAGCAATAACTGTTGAAGTAGGGAGGCGAGCCGGTCCCAGGAACAGTGGAAAAGACCTCAAACGCGCCTCAAGCCGGAAATATCCGACCTGCGCCGAGACAGTGGAAAAGGGGCATTAAGGGATGAGTACAGACGCCAGATATTTGGAAACATTGTGACAGAGTTAATCATGCTAACAATTGGTCTTAAAGGTACACCTTGTTTGTGGATTTTAGGTAAACCGTACAGACTAGGTGTTGCCTCCCCTGGGTACAGTCTGTGGTACAGAATAAGGTCAATAACCTTGTCCTGCTCCAACATTTTCAGGCAATCTATCAACTTCTTCTTGTAGCCACTTCCTGGATCTCTTTTCAGAAGTTTATAAGTGGTTAAGTCACTAGTGTCATAACTTTCTCATTTCTCACTTTCCCAGAAAGACTATCATGATATATCACGGTGGAGGGAATGCAATAGACTTTGAAATTATGAATGGTACCTTAAAACTTAAATGGCTATTTTTTTTCTAAATAATAATCTCTCATTTTGGTCACATATACCCAATTTGGTATTTAACAAGATAGGGGGACTTAATTTTCTCTTACAATGTGATTTTGAGTTTAGCAGATTGCCAGTGAAACTTTCAGATTTTCATAAACAGGTTCTTCTTTACTGGAAACTCGTTTTCAGTCATAATTTCACACCAGTGTGGAACAATAGGTACATTCTGATTAATAAAAAAAAATCTATATTTATCAAGGAATGGTGTTCTAAAGACGTGTGGGCTGTGCCCCATTTTATGGACAACGAAGGAAACATTTTACAATATCAATAGTTCTTACAATATCAATAGTATCAATATCACCTGTTCACCTCCATCTCACAGATAAGGGACACTCTTTTGAGGACCAAAATGTGCACATTTTGGACCGAGAACACAGATGGTTTGAGAGGGGGGTGAAGGAAGCAATTTATGTAAAAAGAGAAAAACCATCTCTTAACAGAGGAGGAGGCCTCAGATTCCCACTTTCAAAAACATATAATGCAACTTTAAAACAGATTCCCAGCCGGTTTTCACACCTGATGGGAACAGAGGGGCCTCGTCTGTGAATTAGAGGAACAAAGACCTACTGTTTTAGGTTTTTAGGTGTGAACTGCCAATCTACATATATGTGTGTGTGTGTCTTATCTCACTCAGCCTTATAACCTGTATCTCTCACTCTCTGCTCTTTGAATTGAGAAAGCTCCTCGGATGAGGAGCGAAACGTCTTCTGTTACAAATAAAGTCCAGTTGTTTTTTGTATTGAACGCTTTTTGAATTCATCATGTCCTGGATGACTGAGAATCTTCACCAGCATATCAATAGTTCTGTAAAAAAAAATTCAGATCCATTGCGATGAGATTAAATATAACCAAATTTTAAAGGCTATTCCAGTCTCTCTTAGGGCTATGGTGAGATTAGATATTATATTCTATGATATTTCCCCTGGTCTGAAACAACTCTGTATTGATGGGTGTTTTGTAACTTTCGATTGTAAGAATTGGTTTTTTTTTTTTTGTATTGTTATGGTTAAATAAAGTTAAAAAAAAAAAAAAAGTACAATGAGGTTGCACGTCCCCTTTAAGGGGAGGAGTGTAGAATCCAAGGAAGCCAAGCCGTTGGGTTCGGCATTTTGCTTCCGGTTCGCGGTGTGTTGGACGGAGTCACGCCGCGCGCGGATAACTTATACCTTTTATCTGCAATAATAGAATTTAATTGTTAAAACTTTATACTTTTATGCCGTTATTTTTGTCTGTGTGAATCCTTTCTCCACCTGGGAATAACGAGCCGGCTTCGAGCGCCGTGGTCGTACGACGACTGTCACCGTGCTGACTTAACTGAACAGCTTGTTTTGATGAGCGGAGTGGAGGTTCTTCTCTCTGCAGCCTGAAAGTGGGTGTTTCTAAAGAACAGGCGATTCTAAAGCGCGAACGCTGATTGGCTGGCTGTGTTTGAACTGTTTTTCCCTTTTTTTTTCTAACCTCTACTTTGCCCAGAGGAAATCAAAATGAAGGTAATGTGATTTTCATTTATCAAGTTTATATATATATATATATATATATATATATATATATATATATTACAGTGGTGGAGAAAGTACTCAAACACTGTACTTAAGTAAAAGTACAAATAAATAGACAAAAATGTACTCTAGTAAAAGTAGAAGTACCACATTAACATTTTTACTCGAGAGTAAATAAGTACTTGCTTTTAAAATACTTAAAGTATTAAAAGTAAAAGTACTTTCTGAATGCAATGGTCTACATATTTTTAAGTCTGCGTACCATATGTATATTTTCTGTAACACATTAATAGTGTTGTGTCATTTTAATGAACGATGCTGCAGATAATACATGTTTTTATTGTGTTTACTCTGTGACACAGTTCACACTTGGACTTGTGATTCTGTGCAGCAGAATTTCAGGGATGACCTGCAGAGTTAATACCATTAATCAAAATAAGAAAGAGGAATGATTATACTTTTAAAAGTTTTTATTTAAAACAAATCAAAACCAAACCAATGTGTCATTTTAACTGCAGTAAACACATTTAAGTAAAAGTTGTCTGCCTGAACAAAAGGGGCATTATTTCAACTCCAGTTAAAATACTGTCTATTCAACCTTGTAATGGGTCAATATTGAACAATATTTTAACTTCCTGACACCATTTTTAAAACTTGGACCTGAGTGTCGAGACATTTGGAGGCATCTCTTGTCTCCTAACATCCCATGAACTGACACATTTTAATTTTGCAGCAAGAATTTCTTGTTCCAGTTCAGACGAAGTTGGTTTTCAAAGATTGTTGAGTCCAGTCTGGCTCTTTTGGGAGAGACAAGCTGTCCTGTTGTACTGAGCCTTTCAATAATCTTTCAATAATCTTTCAATAAGGCCATGGGTGGAGCATTATCTTCTGGCTGACACTCTTGCAATGGAATACATTTAGTGGTGCTGTGGGTGCTCTCAGCTCAGTGACGTATATACTAGAATATAAGTCATTGGCCCAGCTCTTCTTGAAGGCGGACCTAACGTTACCTGCACACTTTGCAGTGATTCACTGGACCAGCTCCCCTCTCACCATTGGTTACTTTCAAAGTAACAAAACAAAAAGCCGCAACATGAATGTAACTTGTAACTCAACGCATCATAGAAATGTAGTGTAGTAGAAAGTACAGATACTTGATGTAAAATGTAGTGACGTAAAAATATAAAGTACCCACATTTAACTCTACTTAAGTAAAGTACAGATACATGAAAAATGTACTTAAGTACAGTAACAAAGTATTTGTACTCAGTTACATCCCACCACTGTGTGTGTGTATGTATGTATATATATATATATATATATGTGTGTGTATCCTATTGAGGTACATTACTAGCATCCCGCCATCATAAGGCACTTGTTTAGACACCTTTTTAGCATAACAAATTTACATGTATTTCAAATACATGAACACAAATACTATTTGTCTACATGTATTTAACAAATCTACACGTATTTGTCACTGTTATGCAGATGGCTCAATACTTAACCACCTATTTTTAAAATAACTTAACCTTTTTTTAATTCTGTCATGTATTTGCAATGATCGTTTGTGTGGGTGATCTCTGAATTGGGTTATGTAGGGGGTTTCAAATTAAAAGTCGATTTGTACCGTTAGCTCATTTGTGCATGCACTAAAAGAAATGGTTTTTAAAATGCTGCTCTATAAAAAGTAACATATTTATATTAATTGAACTTTTATTTAATAACTTTTTATTACTTTTAATAACTTTTTAACATGGTTATTAATTACTTGCTATGAAATGACATGCTTTTGTTGATAATTAAAATGTTATGAAACAGTAGAAAATTGTATTGGACTGTAAGGTTAAAGGATTGTTAAAATCAAGTCTCTTGTAAATGAGTCCCCATTACTCAATGGGATTAACCTGTATAAATAAAGGTTGAATGAAAGTTGTTCCCTCTGGTGGACCCATCACAGACAAGAGAAGACCTTGATATTTAGAATACGTAGTCACATCATTTACTATTAATCAGACTGTTCAAGACTATCCATGTGTTTCTGGGAAACACTAATTAATTTACTCCATCTTTCCTCATGTTTTTAATTGTACACAGGCACATACATTTTATTTACTTGAGTAACATTTTCAGTAAATGGCTGTCAAGGCAGTCTAGCGAAATGCAAATGAACTATTTTTGTCTGTATTTTTGTTCTCTTTAAATAATAATCTATTTATAAAAATTAATATAAAAATTCTAGAATTGCGCCGCTCAAGGTGGCTGCATGTTGGAGCAGCTCTGTTACTTTCATTATGAGATTTTGCTTTTGGAAACTTTAATTCCTGGTTTTCTGGATGTAAATCATATTTTTAGGATGATGGTTTCCTCTGGTATCAGATGCTGTGCAGCTCGAAGGATTTTTACTGAAACTTTTTAAGTTTTGGACATTTGTTATGTCATGTCATGACATGTCAACAAGGCAGTTTTCTACAACAACAGCAGCTGAGTAACATCTCAAAAGCTGAAATAATATCTCAACTATGGCCCCAACTCTCAAATGAGTTGAAAAGGATGTTCTATGGACGCATTCTCATCTACCTGCCAGCTGTGCCTGACCACTGAGATCCTGGAACTAGCAGGAAACATGGCTCACGACAGCGGAAGAACAGGATCGTCCCTCAGCACCTACAGTTGGCTGTCCGCAGCTATAAGGAGCTCGGCAGACTTCTGGGAGGAGTGGCCATCGCTCTGGGAGGAGTTCTGCCCAGCATTCAAGCGGTCCTACAGTCCAGGGGAACCAAGAGGCCAGCCGAGTCTGGGTGGACGGATCGGACGGCATCTGCAGCCAGTTTCTTAGGATCCACTGTGGGATGGACCTTTACAAGAGATCCTTCCTGTCTACAGCCATCAGCATCTATAACATCTTAATGAAATGAGGATAACGAGTTACAACAACAAAATAATTTCCCTCTGGGATTAATAAAGTATTTTTGAATTGAATTGAATAAGATTACAATTACAAACCGGATTCCAAAAAAGTTGGGACACGAAACAAATTGTGAATAAAAACTGAATGCAATGATGTGGAGATGGCAAATGTCAATATTTTATTTGTAACATAACATAGATGACAGATCAAAAGTTTAATCTGAGTAAATGTAACATTTTAAAGGAAAAATATGTTGATTCAAAATTTCACAGTGTCAACAAATCCCAAAAAAAGTTGGGACAAGTAGCAATAAGTGGCTGGAAAAAGGAAATTGAGCATATAACGAACAGCTGGAACACCAATCACCACTAATTAGGTCAATTGACAACATGATTGGGTATAAAAAGAGCTTCTCAGAGTGTCGGTGTCTCTCAGAAGCCAAGATGGTAAGATGATCACCAATTCCACCATTGTTGCGTAGAAAGATAGTGCAGCAATACCAGAATGGTGTTACCCAGTGTAAAATAGCAAAGACTTTTAAGTTGTCATCATCAACCGTGCATAACATCATCAAAAGATTCAGAGAATCTGGAACAATCGCAGTGCGTAAGGGTCAAGGCCGTAAAACTCTACTGGATGCTCGTGATCTCCGGGCCCTTAAACATCACTGCACCTCAAACAGGAATGCCACTGTCAAGGAAATAACAGAGTGGGCTCAGGAATACTTCCAGAAAGCATTGTCAGTGAACACAATCCACCGTGCCATCCGCCGTTGCCAGCTGAAACTCTACAGTGCAAAGAGGAAGCCATTTCTAAGCAAGCTCCACAAGCTCAGACGTTTGCACTGGGCCAGGGGTCATCTAAAATGGAGTGTGGCAAAATGGAAGACTGTTCTGTGGTCAGATGAGTCACAATTTGAAGTTCTTTATGGAACACTGGGACGCCATGTCATCCGGACCAGAGAGGACAAGGATAGCCCAAGTTGTTATCAACGCTCCGTTCAGAAGCCTGCATCACTGATGGTATGGGGTTGCATGAGCGCTTGTGGCATGGGCAGCTTGCATGTCTGGAAAGGCACCATTAATGCAGAGAACTATGTTCAGGTTTTAGAACAACATATGCTCCCATCTAGATGTCATCTCTTTCAGGGAAGACCCTGCATTTTTCAACACGATAATGTCAGACCACATTCTGCAGCAATCACAACATCATGGCTACGTAGGAGAAGGATCCGGGTACTGAAATGGCCAGCCTGCAGTCCAGATCTTTCACCTATAGAGAACATTTTGTGCATCATAAAGAGGAAGGTGCGACAAAGAAGGCCCAAGACGATTGAACAGTTAGAGACCTGTATTAGACATGAATGGGAGAGCATTCCTATTTCTAAACTTGAGAAACTGGTCTCCTCTGTCCCCAGACGTCTGTTGAGTGTTGTAAGAAGAAGGGGGGATGCCACACAGTGGTAAAAATGGACTTGTCCCAACTTTTTTGGGATTTGTTGACGCCATGAAATTTGGAAACAACAGATTTTTCCCTTAAAATGATACATTCTCTCAGTTTAAACTTTTGATCTGTGATTTGTGTTCTATTCTGAATAAAATATTAGATGTTGGCACCTCCACATCATTGCATTCAGTTTTTATTCACAATTTGTTTATTGTCCCAACTTTTTTGGAATCCGGTTTGTAAATAGAAAAATAAAGATACCCCTCCAGAAGTTATTCTTTTAGCGCATGTACAAATGAACTTGACAGTATGGATCTTGCTTCCAGGACAAATCATGCTGTGACAAATTAATACATAAGGTTGATATTAAATATAATAAATATTTTCAAATAAATCTCAATTGAAAACAAACTGTCAACATTTTGTGGTTGTTGTGTAATTGCAGTGTCAAAGTATTTCACCTAAGAAAAACTTTGCAATCATATCATAAATTTACAAGAAATATCTTCATTTTTAAAGTCAATTTCAAATGAATTTCAAGTTGATTTATCCTTATTCTTGTCATGCCATTAAGCAAAGCTTTTAACAGCATCCTCTGTGCTTTTTTCAAATGTTCTTACAATTATTATTTTTTTATTACTTCGTTCAGCACATGACAGTGACCCGAAAGGGAGATGAAACTCCTCGACCTGTCCGCATCCATGAAAACTTCTTTAAATGCCCCTTTTGTTCCCCTGAGCTATACAAACCAGCTGGATATCCAAAAATAGCAACACATCTTGCCAGTCACAAGCTCAAAGCAATCAATCATAAAGGTATGTCATGCTACATTTACATTTCTCTGTTACCAATTATGAGTCATTGTTGATTTTTTTAAATTTACATTCCTCTCTTGTGTTTTTTTCTTTATAGACTACATTATATACAGCTGTGGATTGGATTGTGGTGGAAAGGCAAAACACTTTCATTGTTGTTACTGCTCAAAGACGTATATAAATAAACGGGAAATGTTAAAGCACTTGGCTCTCCATTGCCCCGATGACCCGTGCCAGCCATCAGCAGCAACACCTGGTCCTTCCAAACCAGTCTCCCCAGCTGTAGCAACACCTGGTCTTTCCACACCAGGCCCCCCAGCAGCAGCAACACCTGGTCCTTCCACATCAGGACCCCCAGC